AGACTTAAAATATAACTAAAGTACGTCATCACAACAAAAAGAACAGGGAAAAGAGAAAAGCAGCTAACAATAATCTGCATTTTTTTAATCTCACTTTTCGACTCCCGCTCACCTTTCCAGCATTTAGGATCTGCAATGCTAAACATTAAATGTTAGAAGTGCTGTGACTCACCAGGAGTAAGAGTAGTTTAAAACTATATTCCAGCAAACCTCACTGAGGAAAGTCTAACTATTCCTTTAACAACTGTAGGCCAACATAAACCAAGTCGCTAGAGGTCAATACAGTCAGAGAGAGCAGCGCATGCAAGATGCAGTACCAAGAAGGTCTGGTAAAATGCCTTCTTTTATGCCTGAAACACATCTGCAGTCCCTAAAAATAGTATCTACATCAATTACAAACTGGAGATCTTTCAATGAGTTTAATTCAGGTTGTGGACCCATCTGAGTAACAGAGAACTTTATCTTTTTAACCTGAATTTAAGATACAGAAGATAAATTAAAGTTTTCCTACAGTTATCATAATATTAGGCTCTCTCTTGTATCTAGCCACTTGCTATCTCCAGAAAAGGAAGCACATCATTTGTCCAACCAACAGATAAGACAGCTTTTATTTTAAACATGGCACTCAAAAACCTAAAAGACAGAAAGCAAGCATGTTTGGAGGAACTGATCTGGCAGAACATACACAAAAAAGTCAAAATACACTTTTTGGTCCCTGAAGCTCCATGAAAAGAGCATCAACTGGGAGATGAAAGAGCCTAAGTGCAGAGAGATTTGGAAACTTTCTGCTTATATTTATACAGAGGGGTGTGAATCTGGTTAGATACACTAGGCCTCTCAAATTGCTTTTATGAAGCGGCAGCAGAGCATTACTGGTGAACATTAGCATATCGTACAGCTTTTTCCATGAAGGAAAAATGTAAGCACCCTCCTCCAAATCTGTTAAGAGAAAGCAAAATTGCTGCCTTAGTTCTCAATAAATACAGGAACAACTTTACATTTTCTAAACAACTGTGACCAAAGAAAAGCAGTGTTCCCGTTCTCCCTCCCAGAAGAGGCAAAGGAGCTAGGTGACAGGCTCAAGACAGCATGACAATATTAAGACTTGAATTGTGTGTTTATACTTGTCTACAATCAATCTAGATTGTTTCCTGTTTGTAAAATGCCATGAGCAGCGCTTATATGTAGTAAAAATTGCTGAAGTAACAGCATAAAATTAGGGAAAGCAGAGAGGCGTAATTGTACTATATTGCTTTTCTTCCTTGAAGACACTAGTAATAAGTTCAGACATTTTAATGCCCAAAGCTATTTTCATCTTTGCAACTTTTAAAACTGAACATGACAGCACTCTGGAATTTCCAATCCTTTGCACGCACTTCTTAGTCATCAAAGGCTCCTTTCCTGCTTGCACTCAAATTTCTTTGAAGCAGTTAACCACCACTGGCTATGGGTGGAGTTACATTTAAACAGGCTAACTCTGGAAAGTTTAGAGAAGAAGTGAAAATACTGGCAATGTTATTTATACACTGCCAACACTCAATTCTTCCATCTACTAGTCTGAGTATTGCCTTGTGCAGGTAAAGCTCACTAAAAGTATAAGAAGTTGCTTCTATCAGATTGTGGTTAAAGTTTTCAATGCTGGTCTACTGCAAAGATAAAAGCTTGCAAAAAACCATTAGATTTCAGCTTAAAATAAATTATTCTTTTTCATTACACAGCACTTAACAGAATTGTTGGTAATAAAGCTAACATTTTATGACAAACTTTAATCCCGACCGTCTGATTTACTGGGAAACAGCCATACGGCCTACGTTAAGAGCCTCAGGTGGGCTCTTGCTGGTGACATGGCATATAGAAGACTTGGATTTTGGGGGGAATATTTTGTATCGCTAGAGAAGAAACTCTTCCGTGTATAAAACCACTGAAGACTTATACAAAGTAAAAGCTGAAGGTGAGGACGAACAAAGGGGAAGGAGAAGGGCAACAGCTGTGCCGGCCTGAAGCTGTAATAGGCACAAACTGGGGGAGTTGCCCCCTCCCTCCCTTCGCGTTGGCTTTGAGCCCCGGCGGAGGCAGGATGGCAGTGATGTGCAAGCTGGCAGCAGCACGGCCATGGCTGTACCACTTCATGGTGGTGGCCAGGCACACCCCATCTGCCAGCTCTAACCCAGCAGCCACAGTAGCCTCCAGGGCTTCTCCACTGGAGCTCCCACCTGCTGCACGACACACCCCCAACAATGAGCGCCAAGAACAGCATAAACCAAAGAAAATAAACTACAGAAATATACAAGGCCTGATGGGCAGATACCTCCACATCCATAAAATGGTCCTGGGTTTCACGTGTAAAGAGAATGAAATCTGAGCTGAGCACCCTGCTCCGGGGTTGTTTTTTTTCCAATACATTTTCTTTCAGGCAAGCAGAGATCAACAGTAACTACCATGACCAAGTTAACCCAGAACTAAGATCCCAATAAAACAGAGTTGGAACACACCTAATGGGCCACTCACCCAGGAGCCTGCTTGCCATTTTAAACAACTGTAAGGACAGAAGGTGGTCTCCCTTGAAAAACACAGATATCTGTCGCACTCCTTCATGAATGTCTTCTCTCCTGAACGGAAACCTGACCCTTTGTTGGGTCAGTACTTTGTTGGTTTTCACTTTATGCAATTCAGACACTGACAATGCAGAAACGATACAATGATCTATATATACACAGCAGAAAAAAGTTAACTGGGAAAAAGTAATCTCCTTTTTCTCCTTCAGTACTTTTCTGAGACGTTTCAGGCTTGGTTCCATTGTTGAAACACCTGTGTAAACACCAAAGGAACACCCTGCACCCTACCTTCTGTTTGCTGCTCCTGACCTCTTCCAGAAGCCACAGCTTTTACAGCAAAAGCCATTTGAGGGTGTCTGCAGCTACAAAAAGAGGTGAAAACTGTTTTCTGCCCAATGGTAGGAAGCAAATCTCACTACTGTTAGTTCATACATCAGGCTCTTCAGCTGTCTTTTCAAGAGGGATGGACCAAATAGAAGAGAGGAATAAACAAGCCATCCTGACTAGTGTTCTTTATGCTTTGGGTCTTTATGCTTTCTCAGCATGGAGGGCAGCACTTGGCAGCACCCCAACTGCAGTACAGGATCCAGAGCTGCAAAAATGAAAGCAGGAATCACTCTAGTAATTCAGCTTTACCTTCTCACAGCTCAGCCCTGCATTGGGATAGAGCTTCTACGGTAGATATGGAGAGTGGCACAGCAGCACCAAGACAGAAAGAAACCCATATGGTAAAAGAAGCGTAATCACCAAAGAAGATTCTTGCTCTTTCTCATGGTCAGGCAGCTCGTGCTTGATTCCAGACTGAAAGGCATCCCAGGAAACAGCACAGATGTCCTGGTGTGTTGCTGTCAGACTGATGCCACAACACCGTACAGGCTAGTAAGGGCAACATAGCCTATTTTCATTCACACATACCCATTACTCAAAAAAACCCCTAAAAACCCCAAAACACCATAGGGTACTACCGTCCAGGAGGTAACTTTCCACATTAGGATATATTTAAAATCATCTGCCAACATGAAAAAGGGTAGACACCCTATAAAAAGATTTAAAAAAAAAATAATTCCATATTGGTGTAGAAAAAAAAACACCTGGAAGATAAAACTCCACTATTCATATGTGATTTGCTACTATCTTGCCTCCACAGCTCTAAGAGCTTTTATTATCAATTTATTCACCCTAGTTGCATAACAGCAGATTTAAAATATAATCCCAAACCAGTTTTAAAACAAATTTGAAAATTTAAATAGGATTTTAAAAAGTAATTATGCAAGTTTAAAAGTGACCTGTCAGACTAAAAATATTACATAAACATAATTCCTACACAACTATTCTAAGGTTTTGAAGCTTTATTTGCTGATATTTCCACTTTCAGATTTTGATGAAAAAGTATCTTTTAAGTGGTCCTTTCACTAAGAATTGTGTTGCAGAAGATAAAACCTAAGTTTCTCCCGAGTTTTTGTCCTAAATTAGTGCTGTGTGAAAAACCATTGCTTAGTTTTAAGCATCACAACCGTAAGATATTTCAAGAGCGTCTAAAACTAAGTCAATTTCCCATATCTCTGAAAAAGAAAACAAAAGAGAAAGAACTTATTTTGTATTGCCCAAGACCTAATTACAGAGAACATATTTTTAAAAGTTGCTGACTGCATTTAAAGAGAGTTACGTAAAAGGCAAGCACTGTGTTTCAACAATATAGCCCTATAGCTGTGAAGAGCTTCCATTTTATGAACGCGTTAGGCTACACAGAGGGTTTTATTCAGTACATTTCTGAAGTCTTTTGGAATGTACTCCACTGTGGTCTTACCTAACAGGAAATCCATTTTGGTCTAATAGCAACATAATGCCTACGGAAGATACCAGATGTTGTTCAAACCAAAACATCTCTAAGGAGGCTTTCCCTTGAAAAATCGGGTATTTTTAAGTCTTTTACACCCAAGAGGAGGTGCAGCGTATTCCTTTCCGCCTTCTCATCGGGTAGGTGTTTTTGGAGGAAAGGAGGGCTCTGACACGTGTCCCCGTGGCCAGCCCATTACATTAATTACCTCCTGCTCCCCACCAAACGCAGGCTGAGGCTCCACCGGTGCCTGTCCGCCTACCCGGGGGCGACCTCAACCAACAGTATCACGGCTGGGTTTTCCCAAATAACAGTTCAATTCTCGCTGCCGCTACCGGCACCCGGGCGGACCCGGCGATCCCGCATCTCTACCTCCCCGATGATGACAAGGCCGGGAAGCCCGACGCGTTAACGCGCTGCGAGGACCCGCCGTCTCCCCCCCTGTCATTCACCGGGTACCACTCGCCGGACGGCGGGAACCCCCCCGGCTCTCCGCTGCGGGGCGGGGGTCCCCGCACGCCCCCGTGTCGTTCCGCACCCCTCCCGGGTAACGCACGCCACCATCGCGATCAGAAATAGGGGAGGGGGGGATAAGTCGCGACACTCACGAGACGTAGGCGGGGTAGCCGAAGCCGATGACGTTGCAGAGCAGGGAGGCGCCGTAGCCCACCACCAGGTAGACGGCGACCGCCCCGATGATGGCTGCGGGGGGAGAGAGAGCAGACAGCCGTTAGGGCGGGCGCCGGAGGGGGACGAGGAGGAGCGAGAAGGGCGCGGCCGGAGCCGCGGCAGCAGCCATGGGCCGTATCCCCCCTCCCCTCACCCTCTACCCCCTCCGCCCCGTGTGAGGCGGCCCCCTAATCCCCTGAGGGGGACTCGGCGTGGCGGGGAGGGGGGCGCAGCTGGAGCTCACCTGTAGCGACGTAGGTGCGGTTGACGCCGGTTTTTTTCTCGATCTGTTCCAGCACGGCGGTCATGCAGTTCTTCTCGTGCAGGAACCGATCAAACCTCTGCCTCATCGACGCCGTCATGGTCAGGCCGCCGCGGGCACCCCCTTTACTCCAAAGCCTTCCACAAGCCCCGGGCACACGGCGGAGGAGAGACAGGCTCCGCCTACTGCCGCCGCCCTCCCGCCCACAGCCGCGGCGGGAGGCGGCCCCACCGCCGGGGGGAAGCGGTGGCGGGGGGGCGGCAGGCAGTAGGGAGCCATCTTCCGCCGGCCCTCCGCAGCCCTGACCGCGCCGCGAAATGGAGGCCGGGGGGTGCCGCCGAGCCGGGGTCGGCCCCCCCCCACCT